AAAAAAAAACATGCCAGGTACATGTCAAAAATCACAAGAGGAGAAGGGCTTGCAGTGTGGACACTCCCCCTTGGTGTACTTTCTCTCCCTTCCTCACCCCGTCTCTCTGGAGAGCACATCCGCCTTATAGCACACACATACACAGAAAGAGAAAGGGCAAACCTAGGACACTTTTTAAAATTTTTATTTAATTTGCTACTATTTTTAATTTAATCAGAGAGAGAGAAAAAGGGAAAGTGAGAAAGCAAGCCACCAGGTCTGGGATTCAAACAGTGGGAAAGGGAAAGTGAGGAAACAAGCTGCCAGGTCCAGGACTTGATCGGTGCTTGGCCATGTGGGAGTCCAGTGCCTCTATCCACCACCCCACCTGCCGGCCTCCAGTTCACTTAAGTAGCTGTGCTGTGTTTTAGGGTGATTTATCTAAAGATAATGACAGATGTTAATCAGTTAATTCTCTCTCTCTCTCTTTTTTTTTTTTTTTGAAGAGGTTTTTGCTGTAGGGCGTGTGCACTCGACAGAAAGTGAGAAATCACCCTCCACGGGGGATGGGCACATACACACACGCACCCGGCATGAGTTTAAGCTACCGGGTCCGGGACTTAAACCATGGTCGGCAACATGGGAGTTCAGGGACATAGCCATTACGCTAACTGCTGGTCCCTGAATCAGTGAATTCTTTAATGAGGTTTCTGAGCAGAATGCCGACGCTCAGTCACACGACATTTTGTCTTTCTGGTGTTGGCCACAGCTGTTTGCACTCGTCATAAGTGACTATCAGTGTGCACACAGAGGCACACACAGGCCTCCTGAAGGCTCATTCGTAAAGCTAAGCTTGTATTTGCAGAGAGGAGAGCCTTTGCTTGGTTTTAGACAACAGATCGTTTTCCTCAGTTATTGACGAAGCAGAGCTTGAACTGCTCATCCTGGATACAAGTCCTAACGGTGGTTCTCAGGACTCCAAGCCTTGCTTGCCTCTGCAACTTTCTCCCGTGAGCCCTCACCACAGCTAAGCCCTTGCAGTTCCCAGAGGCGCCCTGCTTTCACACTTGCCTACTTGGCTTCCCTACCTTTGGTACATGCCCTCCTCTCTGTGTCAGCCAGGACACTTCCTCCTAGTCCTGCTCGCAGGCCTGCCTTCGCTACTAAGCCTTCACTGGTCGCCCCGTCTGTTCTTTTAAAAATGCTTTAATCTAGTGAAATAGAATGGTCCTCTCCTGAGAAATGGGTACAGATGTCCATCAAGTAGTTTTATGCCGAGTGCATATTAGACAGAAATATCAGGTCCTTTGGAAAGTCATGACACATTTTTGCAGAGGAAAACATAGAAAAATGTGTCATGGCTTTCCTGACCACCTAACACTTAATCTTTTCAGTACAGTCAATAAAGCTGTCATAATCCCCCCAAAAAAGAACCCAGTCCCTCTCATTCCTCTAGAGCAGTTACGAGGGGACTTGAACTGTAGTCAGCCATGTGGGAATTGAGCACTCCAACCACCATGCCACCCGCTGCCCCTACTCCTGTTTTATTATTATTATTATTATCCTTTTTGTTGTTGTTCATGAATGAGAGACAGGTGCTGACAACACCCTCAAGAGGTCCTGACACCACCATTCACCCCGGCCTCCACCCACCCTAGGTCATGGGCACACATTCCCAGTGCCCCCAGGAAGGTCCCTGGTGTGAACCCAGAACCTTACCACGTGCACCAGCCTCACAGAGCATTGCCTTTTACCACATCTGAGTTTCTGTAGTCAGTGGGCACCGGGCCCCGCCCTCCGGCGAAAACTTAAAAAAAAAAAAGCTTAAAACAAAATTTAGTATTGTTCCTCTAGGGACCGATAAATAAAAACCCCTGAAATTGGGACCAGCAGTTCGCGTAATGGTTGTGTCGCTGGACTCCCATGTGGTCGACCGTGGTTCAAGTCCCGGACCTGGTGGCTTAAACTCATGCTGGGCGCGTGTGTGTGTGTGCCACAGATCTCGAGAGGAGAATGGAGGAGAAGGGATGGCGGCGTGGCCATCCCTCCTGGGGGGTGATTTCTCACTTCCTGTCTGTCGGTCTGTCTGGCGAGCGGCCC